TGTTCTGTTTCTGTATTATCAGAACGATTACATTTTGTATTTGTTACTTAGGTGCGAGTGCAAGTTATTTTAAAATTTTGATGGATTAGTTTTATTTTTTGTAATCATCATTCATTTAGTATTTTGCAATATCATAGGGGTCGAATCAGGTTAGATGGTTCAACTCGAAAAATCAGGGACCAGTTCAAAACAATGGAACGTAATACAATTATTGTGCCAGCATACAACTAAGAACACACAACAAAACTCAAACAATGGAAACCAACAGTAAAAGAACAAACTTTTGCAGCTGAAGAGCTTGTACGAGATCGTCGATTTAGGAAGTCTTGTCTTCCGGGGTTAGCGCGGAAAAATAGCAAAATNACACAACAAAAATACTATGGAAACCATCAGTAAAAGATCAAACTTTTGCAGCTGAAGAGCTTGTACGAGATCGTCGATTTAGGAAGTCTTGGCTTCTGAGGGTAGCGCGGAAAAATAGCAAAATATGTCTGTACCACGGTAAGGAAAAGGGCGAAAATTGCACCTAGAAAAGCCAAGATAGTCCAAGGACTGCTAAAATGGTCGTGCAGCCATTCAGCCATCCAAACTAGTCCTTTATTCTGGCAATGATCTTCAATCTGCTGCATAGTATCTGCATATACATAAAGATCAGGTACCAAATCAATAGCTATCTCGTTAAAGAGTTGCGCTAAATGTTCGTCACTGCCTAAATTGTTGACAAGGATTCTTTTCTTCCTGAGCTCTTTAACATCATTGGCATTATCAATGAGTGAATCCATTAGCCAAATGTATGACGTAATGCGATAATCAGAAGGGCCATGGGGACTCATTTCGTAAGCGACCAAGTTTAATAGCAAAGGTTTTGTTGAATCATCAACATTGATTAGAGGAAGTGAAAGAATACCAAAAAAAATAAGGTGATTTTTGAACTCGACATCAGTAATATGGTAAGTTTGACTTGGTCTGAAATATATTCCTTCTGATTTGAGCTCGGTTACTGAACGATACGAATGCCATCCGACTGATTTCTTCGTTTTTTTCTTTTTTTTCCCAGGAAGTGACCCGATAAGCCGTTCCCGCGCTAGATGTAGAAGGTGAGGGCTTGCATTCAAATCTAATTTCCATTCATTCTTTTCTTGATCACTTCTTCCCATCATTCGTTCATGTAAATTTTCAAAAGCTTTAGTGCATGTATTTTTCTGAGGTGGCTTTACAGTGACCTTCTGATCAATGAAATTCTGAATCAACTTTGTCGTCTCGCTTTCTTTTTTGAACCTGAATTTCATCAAAACATTTAGTATTAGTAAAGGAA